CATTTAACCTTCACCATAATCCCAGGAGACAGAGAAGATTGGTCGCTTTTATAGATGAGGAGACTGAGGCTCCGAGAGGCACCCTGCACCTGCTCCCACCCTGATGAGTGTGGAGAATGAGTGGGATTCACACCCAGATCCCCAGGGCCCAGTGAGGCTCTTCCTGCCCCTCCTCCACCAGGGTCCCCTGCCCGCTTTCTGCTGAGGAAGGACAGGTGTGGCCACAGAGCCCGGTGCCCCCTCTCCCTCTGGCTCCCTCCGCTGAGGGCCCCCTTTCCCCCCCATCACGACCACTCCTGGGCACCCGGGACCCTTGCGCGTGGAGTGCAGCCCTGATGGCGGTGGTGCCGGCGACCTGCCCCTTCTCCTCACTCCCAGGGCTCCACAGAAGATTGGGTTGGGCAGCGTCCTGACGGCCAGGTCCAGGTGCTCCTGAGGCTGGACAGACCCCAGGGACAGAGCCAGCTGACCTGGGCCATCTGGGGCTCCTCCTCCCTCCAGGCACCTGCACCCCCCTCTGTCCCACGCTTCGGGCCCTGGGGCTCAGCTCTGTCCCTCTGCAGCTGGAGAGGAGGGGCGCCTCCGTCCCAGGCTGAGGTGGACCCCGCGCTCCGGCTGCCCTTCCCCACCCTCGGGCTTTGCCAGCAGCCGCAGGGAGCTGGCGGAGTGGCGGGGCGACCAGGGTCAGTGGCAGTCGGGAGGCGGAGGCCGTCTGTCCCTGCAGCCCAGTGGCCGCTCCTCATGTCCCTTTAGCTCAGACTCAGCCAGTCCCTGTGGATGAGGTTGACCAGCCACCAGGGTGGCTTAGCAGGCCACAGGTCCCACTTCTCAGGAAGGAGCTTCAGCCAAAGTAGATGGAGTAAGAGTGGCCAGGGAGGGTCCCTGTGACCCTGGACATGGGACGGTCCAGACCCAGCCGCCGGCCTCTGCAGTGGCCAAGGCACTGCTGGCTCCCGTGGGGGCGGGAAGCTTCCCTGGGCTTCGCTGGACCAGCCACTCGGAGCTCCCCTGGACCCGGGGGACATCCCGGGACGGGGGGGAGGGGTGAGCTTAGGAGATGGTGCCCACACAGTTCTGCTGCCCCTGAGGCAAAGCACCTGGAGCCAGTGGCCCACGCAAAGGGGTGCAGCTGTGAGGTGGCCCGGTGGCTCCCGGCTGGAGGCTGCAAGGAGACCAGCCAGGGGACAGGGGCAGCAAGGGCCTGACGGGGAGGGCCAGGTAGAGGCCAAGGGGCGGCACTCGCTGAAGCCTGGACAGCCGCTGGGGCCTGGCCTGGCCTCCTCCCTCCCAGGGAGTCCAGGGTCCAGCCGTGGCCACCCAGTGCACCTGGAAATGGGGCCTTCCTGGGAAGCCCCCCTGTGGGGCCCGGGGTGCTCACACAGGGAACCGGCCAGCACCCTTGAGTCCACCCTCCACGGATCAGGGCCTCGTCTGGGCCCAGCCCGTGGGCCGTGCTGGCTGAAGAGACCAGCGGGAGGGCCAGGTGACAGGGCCACAGGCCCAGCTGCCACCTGGCCAGCCTGTCCACAGAGGGCCAGCAACAGAGGAAAAGTGACACACTGTGGATCCTTCACCACTTTTACGGAGCTAAAAATGAGCTGGAAAAGAAATAATCATAGTTCCATAACAGCACATGGGACTCTGTCCCTATGTCAAATAAAATGACCCTGGAGGCCACAGGCTCGGCGCACTGTCAGCCAACGTCTGCCTGATGGCTCTGCACAGACGCCCCCACCTCCCGGCCCCCCACGGGCCCTTGGTCAGAACCGCCTGCTGCCCGACGTCCTGTCATGGGCTGCTGACAGCAGGAGCAGCTTCCCCAGGGGCTGCAGCAGCCTCGGGGGCCATCCTGGGGCCCCAGGTGACCCCCTGTCCTGGGTCACAGCAGCAAGCAGAGCCTGCGGCCTCCCAGGCCTGGGTCCCACGGCCTGGCGAGGCCACCACCCGCAGCATCTTGGCCTGGCCAGCACTGCCAGGCCCCGGTGAAAACCGAGTCTGAACCTGGCGGCCTGGCGGGGGCTGCGGGGCCACACCTGGTCAGGACACGGGGGACGTCCGCACCGATGGATGCTCCATCCCTCCTTCATTAGTCCAAGGTCTGATGGCCGCCACCAAGCTGCCCAGCTGGCCCTGCGCTGCTGCTGCTTCCCAGACCATGCCTTGGGGCTCCAGAGGTGACCCCATTCTAGAGAAATTAGAGTGGGGTCACCCTCCAGCCCCTGGGCCACCGGTCCTCCTGTGTCCTGTGGCAGGAAGCAGGTGGCTACCAGGGGCCAGAGCCCGGCTGCAAACAGGCTTCTGAGTCAAAGCCTGACTCCGGGGCCAGGTGCCCGCGGCCGGATCGCTGTTCTAGCGCTTTCTAACCATGACCTCGGGCAAGTCGCCACCGACCAGAACGGTGACAGGCGCGGCCACTGTGAGGGTGAGGGGCCCGGCACAGCCCGAGGTGAGCGCTCCTGTCCCTGATGTCGCCTGTTTTTGGAGTCGACATTTGAATATAAGGAGAAATCCTGGGGACGGGGATCCCGATTTCTGACTTTTTTAAAAATCAAGATAGGGCAAGGCCCTCCTTTGGGGCCTGGTGCTCAGCCGCAGTCCCACCTTGGAATCCAGCCAGCTGACCAGGGCAACTGCCAGACACTGTGCTGCCCGGGCCTGCCACCCCTGCAACCTCAGGAGGCTGAGGCAGGACAACCCCAAATTCAGGGCCAGGCTTGGCAACTTAGTGAGACCTGTCCCAAAGTTTAAAAAAAAAGAGTTGGGGACACAGCTCTGGCAGAGCACCCGGGCCAACTCTCCAGGACTGACCCCTCCCAGGACCAAGTCAGAATCTCCCAGTGTCAACGTGCCCAGGTGACTCCAGCTGGGAGATGGGGTCCAGGGCCTCTGCTAGAAGGAGACCCTGGGCTTGCCACCTGGGACTTGCCCTTTGTCACCTCCTGCGGCTTCTTCACATTAAAGGACAATGACTGGATTCCTGTCTTTTAAGAGTGGAAAATAGAAGCCAGAGCAGACATTCTCACACCTGAGGAGCTGGGCTGGGAACACGGGGCGCGGTCCCCACAGCAGCAGGCCCTGACCCCGGGCTCTGGCCCTCCTTGGCCACACACACCCTCTCATCCAACCTCCCCTCTGCCCAACACGGGGCTCTTCCTCCTTCTTCCCTCTCCCCCACCTCCTTTCCTGCCTTCTCCTGGCAAATCTCTGCCAGGGCCACCTCCTCCAAGAAGCCCTCCTTGACCTTCCAGCAGAGGTGGAGTCTTCCTCCTTGCAGGAGTTCAGTGAGCATCCTCTGAGTTTCTAGATGGCCCAGCCCTCCATGAGGCCCGCCAGGCAATGTGTGCAGAACACCTCGGGACAAAGCATGTTGTCATATCGTGCACACATGCGAGTGTGTGACAGCTCACGCCATGGTGTGCAGCTATAACGCACCGGTGATAAAATACGGAAAAAGAAAGGAGCCGCGGGAGGAACTTCCTTCTGACTTGGACCTGGACAGTGAGCCTGAGAGTCCTCTGGAGTGAGATCAGGGCCAGGCCTGCCAGTCGTCCCCTCCGCTTCTCATTGGCTCTGATGGGCCACCTCTCCATCCCTGACCACATCGCCATGGCCAGGGAGATCCAGTGATCAGAGTCACAAGCCACCTCGGGAGTCAGTGGGAGAAATCAGTCCCCGGTGGGTCCCCGGGAGGGACGGTGGGTCCTGGCAGATAAGGACAGATAAACACCAGGGTCCTGCCAGGCACACCCTCTGCTCGTCACACCCCAGCCGCAGTTCCAAGGAGGTCCACAGGTGCACCCCTTCTCCGTGTGGCTGCTCCCCCAGATCAGACAGTTAGTGTGGACTAAATGAGAATCTGAGACACGTTTTTCAAATTCAGTAATTCCTCGAGCCTGATTTGGATCTTATTCATCATTTCAGCACGTGTGCCTGCGTGTGTGAGTACGTGTGCGTGCGCGCGCGTGCGCGTGTGTGGGTGGTGTTTCGGTGGTGCTTGTGGCCTGCAGACAGACGATGCCCGACTCCTTGAACATGACCTGAAGGACACCTCCGTGGCTCCAGTGGCACTTTCCAAAGGGCCCAGCCAGTGCTTTGTGCAAAATCCCCGGCCTCCACTGACCAGGCTTCGCAATGACGGACAGACCCCGCCCACCTGGACAGGCCCCGCCCACCTGGACAGGCCCCGCCCCCCTGGACAGCCCCCCCCCCCCCGCCCCACCTCCTCAGGGCCCTTTCAGTGGGCGCTTGACTGAGGACCCCGATTGCAAGCGACAGAAGTGACCTTCGCTAACCTCAGTGAAGAGGCCGTGTTGAAGGGCTGCTGGGAGCTCCCTGGCCCCGGGGGCTGGCACTCCGGGCTTGGGAGCCAGGGAGCCCCGGGGCGACTCACGGCTGGAGCAGGACAGTGTGGCTCCTGCCTCAGGGTGGACACAGCCATCTCTTAGCTCAGATTCGACTGCAGCAGAGGAGTTGCTGTGTAGCCCACCTGGAAGTGAGGCAAGGCGGGACCCCCCTCCCCCCGAGAGGAGAGGAACCCCGCGTGGTAGGCTTCCAGGGAGCCGATGCTGGGAGCCAGGAGCAAGGAACGTTCTCGAGGGTGACACACTCATCAGGTGGTCCCCAGGAGGACACGCCCCCTCCATCCGGAGCCCTCCCCTTAGAGTGGGGGGGTCAGTTACGTGGCTATTACAGTTACCACCACTCTCTCTTTTTTTTTTTCCTTTTTGGTTATTCTGGAACATTCGCTTGGATTTTTCCCTGCTCTGGTTTTCTTTATGTTTCCATAATCTCGCGGCTCCTGGGTGGTCTGGTTTCCGACAGGCAGCAGCGTCAGCTGGTTCTCACAGAAGTCCATGTGCTCATGGAGGAAATGTGGCCTGAGCCGATGTCACCCCACCCACAGAAAGGAAGTGACAGCTACACAAGGTGGAGAAATGTATGGGCTGAGCCCATAAGGATGATTTGGGTTACAAGGAACAGAAAAGCCAATTCAGACAGCCTTAAGCAGTAAAGTGATTTATTGGCACATGTTATTGAAAAGTCCTTCAGGAAAGGCTTGATCCAGCAGTTTAACAGTAATAGCAAGGGCCCATTTCTTGCTCTCTCACTTGACTGGCCTTTTTTAAGACTGGATCTCCTTACAGTTCCAAGTTTCTGGCCAGGAGATCCCAAGACCAAGAGGGCCTCCTTAGAGAAGCATCTTTGCTCTAGAATTCCCAGGAAAATCTTGAACTTCCTGCTGAATGACAGATCTGGGTCATGTGGGTCATGTCCCCAACCCTAAACCAATCCCTAAGACCAAAGGTTGAAATGTACTTATTGACTTAGTCGCGCCCTCACCTGGCAGAGTCAGCCTTGGAACTCCCTGGATCCCCAACCAAATTCAAGTCTACCTGGGAGGGAGCGGGCCCACTGCTGTGGGGAGTCGAACTTGAGGCTCATCACTCATTGCAACTGCGACTCCTATTGTCGTCTTCAGTGGGCATCTCAGATGCCCGTGTCAGGGGATTTCGTGATTGTCACCACACCCTGGGGGGCAGCCCACTGATCCTCTTTTGCAGATAAGGAAGGAGGCCAAGGCAGGTGACTTGAAGCATCACAGCGGGGGTAAGTCCGAGGCAGGACTTCAAGTCGGGTGTATCAGACCCCCAAATCCCTGCTCCCAGCCTGGTCCCCGGCCTGCCACTCCGTCCTGGGCCAGGGTCTGAGGGGACACCAGGAGTGGGAGCACATTCACTCTCAGGCCTTACCTGAGCTCCTCTGAGGCCACGGGCCTCCTGCCCAGCTCCAAGTAGCCAGAGGCCTTGGGGGGGCGGGGTCAAGCAGGAGCCGGCACAGCCCAGCGACCCCCAGCAGGAAGCGGACGCACACTGCCTTGGACTTCCCATGCACGGTCCCTTCCAGTCGGACAAGCTCTGGGAGGTGGCCTTATCTCCTCTGGATCCTGAGTTAACAGCTGACAGTGAGGCTGAGGAACACCAGGTCCCCGGCTGCTGGGGAAGCCCCACCCGGTCTCGCTCTCTGGGGGCTGAGGGACCATTCCGGAAGGCTCCATCAGCAAGAAGGCAGCCATGTGGGACCCGGGTCTGCTGGGAACCCGGCCTGGAAGAGGGGAGGCGGCCCGCAGATGGGTGAGCAGAGGCCGCTTCCTGGAGGGGGCGAGCTTGCTGGGCGGGGAGGGCTGACATCCAAGGTTCAAGGAGCCCGGCGGGGAAGGGGCAGGGGCAGGGGCTGGCCCCCACCTCCGCCAGCCCTGGGGCACTTGCCCACACCTGGGAGTTTCCATCTCAGAATCTCCAGCAGGAAGACCCACTGGGCTCGAGCCACTCACACCCAGGCGGCCCAAGGGCGTGGCCATCGCTCTATCCCATGCAGGCCTCTGCGCAGGACCCAGCCGTGTCCACCCCGCAGGCAGCCCAGGGAGGGCTCAGAGACACCACCACACAAGGGAGGAGAGGGGTCTGAGACAGAGTTCAGAAGTCACAGAGCCAGAACTCACCTCCAGCCCTGGCCCCAGGTCCCTGCAGGTCCAAGGCACTGCCCCAGGTGACACAGGAGCACACACACACAGCCACATGTTCCTGGGCGTCAGCGTCCTTCGGGGCACCTCCCTCCAGGTCTCTCTGACCTGCTGTCTGACCCAGGGTCTGGGCTGGAACCCTCAGGCAGCTCGTTTGAGCGGGAACCTGAAGTCCCCAGGCCTCTCTGAACTTGCCCGGAGGGAGGAGGAGGGGACTCTGGAGATGGCATGTTTCAGGCACAGGCAGGACCTGAGTTTCCACCCACCAAGCTGCTCATGTGCTGTGTGATCTTGGGCAAGTAATTTCATGTCTCTGAGCCTCAAATATTTGTTTTTAGTGCAGTTAAATGAGAACCACTAACCCACCGGCAGGACTGCCCGAGAGCCGGGAATCTCCCTAATGTGTCTGTCTCGTCCCACCCCCTGCTCCACCCAGTCAGGCACTGAGCATTTTACCTCCAACATGTACTTCGAATTCCTCCTCCTCTGTCTGCTGTCACTTCCCCCGTTCCGGCCCTCTCCTGCCTGGCTGACCACAGCCAGCTGGGCTCGGGCACACGTCTTCCTCGGATTCCCAGGTGCAGCCGAGAGGCCTCTGCAGCGCACCTGTGCTCAGGTGGAAACTCCGCCAGCTCCCTGCTGCTCGCCAAGAAACCCCCAAATCTCACTCTTGCCTCCACAGAGAGGCCCTCGGGGCTGACCCTGCCGCCACCCTGCCCATTCCTGTCCACCTCGTGCCCTCTCCCTGGCGCCTTCTGTGCTGGGCCTCACAGCCGCTCCGTTCCCTGTGCTGGGAACGCTCTTCCCTGACCCGGCCTGCTACACGTGGCCTTCAAACCTCCATTCAGAGTCCATGAAGCCCTTTCAGATCAGATCCCCATTGGCTGAGCTCACCCTGTACTCCTCCTTCCTGGTGCCAGTCACCAGGCAAATAAGTATTGGTGAACTGGCCGGTGAATGGCTGTCTCACGCTGTTTTTGCTACATCCTCCTCAGGAAAGTGACTTCTCCCGGTGGTTCCAGAGGTGGCCCTGGATTAAGACTGAAATAAGTGCCCAGTGCCGTGGCACACACCTGTAATCCCAGCGGCTCAGGAGGCTGAGGCAGGAGGATGGCGACTTCAAAGCCAGCCTCAGTAACTTAGCGAGGCCCTGAGCAACTCAGCGAGATCCTGTCTCTAAATAAAAACTAAAAAGGGCTGGGGTGTGACTCAGGGGCTAAGCACCCCTGGGTTCAATCCCTGGTACCAAAAAAATGACTGGAACCTGTGTATTAGTGGGGGACAGGGCTGCAGGGACGTGGGTTAAGGCCACAGTTGTCCCATCCCATGGAGAAAACCCAGGTGGGAGAGAAGCCCCAGAGAGAAGGTAGGAGACGGAGCAGCTGAGCCCCGACGGCCGGGGCCTGGAGCAGCCGTGTCTGAAGCCGTCCTGGGGCATGGCGCCCGCCACCCTGTTTGGCTTTGCTGAAGCTCTGTTCACGGGCGTGGCTGGGGGTGCAGCCCTCCCAGCACGAGCCAGGCCGGGGTTCCTTCCCCAGCACCCGGCGGCGGGGCCCAGTTCAACCTTCCCGGCCTGGGGGCCCCCGAGGGCAGCACCGGCTGTCCCCACCGCTGACCCCGAGTCCTGGCCCAGAGCCCACCTTGGCCACTGTTGCCGATGAGCAGATGGAGTGGGAAGTGGGCAGCCTGGGCTCGGCGTCAGCAGGAGCAGCGAGAGTCGGACACTTGGTGCCTCCGTCCGGCTGAGCACCACCTCCGGGGGTCCCACCGCCGGGACCCCCCAGGTCATCCCGGCGCCCCCAGGGGGGCAGCTCCTGCTGCGAGCCGGCTCCTCTCGCCCCGCAGCTCTGCCCCCCCCGCCCCGCCCTCAGAACCCAAGGCCTCCAGTTTCCTTCCTGGCTTCCCAGAATATTCCAGAGCTGACCCCTCACCCCCGTGGCACGCCCAAGCAGCCAAGGTGACTGTTTACCCTCTGCCCTTGGAAACCATCTCTGGCTGGTGGCATGGCCTCCCCACACAGCTGCCCTCTGCCCACAGCCTGGCCAAACAAGCCAAGGTGTTTCCTGCCCGGGGTTGGCACTGCCAGGCGGGGCTTCCTCCACTCCACCCCCCCACCCCCACCCCGCTCACGGTCCACCTGGCTCCCCAAAGCTGCGCACTCACCTTGGGGTCAGTGTGGGAGCCGAGAGGGTTGACAGTGGGTGCCCACCTCCCTCCGCCCCTCTGCCCACACTACCTGGGGGCCAGCCAGCACCGGGGAGCCCAGTGGACAGTAAGCCCCAGGTCCCACTCCTAGCTCTTGCAGCTTTGTGACCCCGGGCAGGTTGCTGGCCCTCTCTGAGCCTGCTTACTCCGTAGGTAGCAAGGGAATGACGGGGACCACCCTGGGACGGCATGACTGTGAACACAGAGTAGCACCTAATTCTACACCCGAGTGGCCAGGCCCAGAGGGTCCGTCTGTCTTGAGGTCCTTCTGGGCTGGGAGACCCTGCCTCACCCGGCTGAGGTCCTTCTGCCAGGGCAGCCTCTGCCACCTGACTAGTGGTCACTTGGGGAGGCCCTGGGTGGCTGCTGGTGTCACGGGCCTGACGAGTTCCCCAGTCCCCTGTGTGACCTTCCTCCACCTCTTGGACACCTTCCCTGGTCACCTGTCTAGAACCCGGGCTTGTCGGCCTGTGCCCCGCCCCCCTGCTGGGAAACAGTCCCCTCCCCTGCCAGCCCTGCTCTGTGGCCCCCGCTCAGAGCAGCGCAGACCTTCTCCTGGCCACGGGGCCTTGGGCAGCCGCCCCCACCCCCAGCCTCCTGGGACAGGAAAACACCGAGGACGTGGAACCGAGGAAGCCGTAGCCGCTGCGCAAGCCCCGCACGGTGACCAGCGCACTGAGCCGTGAGTGCTCAATCCCCCCGCACAGCCGTCTGGAGGGTGTTGGGGTCCTCGGGGCTCCCCACGTATGCGTGGGTTAACAGCATCATATAAAGGACCCGTAGTGTCCACTCCCCTTCCGCCCCATGTCCTCCCAGGCCTCTGCAGCAGGCAGACCCTTAGAGTCCGCCGACCCCCCACCTCCAGGACCCCGAGGAACAGACTCCCACTCCACTTGCTGATGGCACAGATGACAGTGAGTCTATCACCCTCAGGGCCCCAGGGAGGTCAGGACCTGTGGCCGGCAGTGTCCCCCGGGGATGGCCCCCAGCCCGCTGCAGATTCCTGCCCTCCCCAGGCCCCTGGCACAGGCTCCATGGCCGCCGTCTTACTGGGTGAACCAGGGCGTCCTGACGCCCAACATTCAGGAACCAGGTGGGAGGGAACCTGCTTCGTGCATGTATCTGCATATTTTTATTGAGCACCTACTGGGTGCCTGGCCCACACAGGCACTGAAGACACACTTGAGGACAGACAGGGGCCATGGGATCAGGGAAGCCTGTTGGAAGAGGTGACACTTGAGCTGAGCCCTCAAGGATTCCAAGGCGGGTCCGACTGGCCTCATCCTACCCACCTTCGTCCTGCGGGCCCCGCAACCCCAGCTCTGAGGGACCAGGGCGGAGACAAGGGCAGGCCTCCTCCCCGGGGAGAAAACCCTTCATGAACCAAGCGAGGACGGAAGTGGTGATGAGGACCCGCCACATGTAAATAGGCCCGTCCACTCCAGAGTCGCCCTGGAAACCTGCGGTCAGCTTGGACTTTGCTGAAGGCTGAGCTGCCGGCCACCAGGAGCCCAGAACGGCTGAACAAACTTCGAGCTTCACATGGGGCCGGCCCGCGAGGAGTTCAAGGCCGGAGAATTTCTCCAAAGTCAAAACCGCAACAGGAAGGCCCAGAAACAGGCTCCGGAGGCGGGCGGCCTGGCACAGGGCTCCAGCCAGCCTTCCCGAAGGAGCAGGGCTGGAGGGAAGCCAGGAGTGTCCCCTGGCTCCCAAGTCTCTAGGGGCCACGGTGCCCAAAACCTCACCATGAGAACTGGGGTCCAGTGGAGCACTGCCCTGCCCCTCACCCCGGGGAAGCAGGGCACTCAGTCCCAACACAAGCCAGGGAGGGAAGAGGGGAACCTGCATCTCAGAGCTGTGCTGACTGTGAACCTCGGAGTCTCCTGGACAGTTGTAATTTCAGATCACCTGAACCCATTCCCAAGGGAACCAACTGGTGTCTGAGAGGGAAATGAGAGCATCCTAGCCAGGCATGGTGGCATACGCCTGTAATCCCAGCACCTTGGGAGGCTGAGGCAGGAGGATGGGGTCGGAGGCCAGCCTCAGCAACTTAGTGAGACCCTGGCTCAAGATTTAAAAATGAAATAAAATGATGATGTAGCTCAGTGGTAAAGTGGCCCTGGGTTCAGTCCCTAGCATCCCACAGCTGGCTAGAGAAGAGCCACACAGGTGTCTGGAGTCCTCGGTTCTGGCTCTGCCACTTGGAACAGTTGACCAGTTTCCCTCCCATCCTGGGGCCTCAGGTACAGGGGGGTGCCCCAGGTGCCCCCCCAGGCTCTCCCTGCCGAGAGGAGGGTGCAGGATGCAGAGTGAAGGTGGTAGGAAGAGGCTGGCACTGGGGAAGAGGGAGACCCTGGGACACACGCCACCTGCGGCCCTGGGCCACATCTGCCTACTTTCTCCCCCCACGGGCCCTCAGGGAGCTACACCCATGTGTCCCTGAGCAGACCTGAGCAGACATGAGCCCACACTCAGGCTGGGTGACAGCCAAAGCTAGGACCCCCAACAAGGATGCTGGGACGGTCAGTCTGGACCTCAGCGGTCAGTAGAGGCCGTGACCATCACAGAGGCCCCAGCACTGTCCAAACAGGTGAGAGCAGGGTTGGGGCATCAGGGACGTGGGCTGGAATCTGCCGTCCACCCTTCACTCACTGTGTGACCTGACCAGGCCGTCCCTGGAGAGCGGGGCTGGTGACCCCGAGAGCCCGTGCCAGGCTCCGAGAGGCCCCTGCTCTGCACAGCAGCGTCCGGCACCAGCGGGGGTTTCAGAAAAGAGGACTCCCCTCCTCCAGTCCAGCAGCACTGTGCACTGGACCTTGTCCTCCACTTCACCCAGGAGCCCAGCCTCCTCCACCAGAGGAACAGGGTCTGCTCAGTCCGACATGCAATCCCGCCACCACCCCAACTCCTGCCACCAAATCTCTGTCACAACCAGTGGTCGTCACCACGATGGACAGCACGCCTGCCACACGCTGGCACTTTGAGTGCTCACTGCCCAGCCCCTTCCCACCAGACCCTCCAACCAAGGAAACCCCCATCTGACAGACGTGAAAACTGAGGCTCCGGGACCACAGAGGTGGAAAGGGACACGGTCCCATCGTCGGCAGTGCCCAAGTGCTGACCGCTGAGTCACCTGCCTCTCAAGGCTGAGGGAATCCCCCCCTCCTGATTCTCCAGTGAGGGCTGCTGGGGAGACACAAGGGGAGCAGCAGAGGCCCAAGTGGCTCCCCTGACCCCCGGCATTGGGCAATTTCACTAACCCCCCATTTCCTCATATCGAGGGCTCCCCTTTCTTTCCAAAACAAGACCCAGGCTTCAGGGTGGACCCCAAAGCTGCTCTGAATTCTGGAAGGGCCAAGAGGGGTGTTGTGATACGTTTCTAGGGTGATGCGACCCAAACATACGTGTGTGAGGTCTTCAGAGGACATCGTCACAGTCAGACAGACATGGGTTTGAATTCTTGGATGGACGGATGGTGGGTGGATGGATGGATGGGTGGACAAATGGCAGATAGATGGATAGATAGATGGAAAGATAGTTGATGGATGGATGGACAGATGTATGGATGAATAGTTGATGGATAACTGGATAGATGGACAGATAGATGGGTGGATAGATAGATGGGCAGATGGACGGATGGACAGGTAGATGGACAGATGGATGGATGGATGGATAGATGGGTAGAGGGATCATGGATGGTGGATAGCTGGATGGATGGATAGAGGGATGGATGGATAGATGGATGAATGAATGGGAAGATGGGTGGAGAGATCGTGGATGGTGGATAGTTGGATGGATGGACAGGTGGATGGATGGATGGACAGATGGGTGGAGGGATGGTGGATGGTGGATAGTGGATGAGTGGACAGGTGGATGGATGGGTAACTATTTGAGAGCATGAAGAGAGGGAGGGAGGGAGGCCTGATTTGCCCCGGGCTGTATGTCTCTTGCTGCTCCCATCTGCCCCCACCCAGAAGCCACAGTGGACACTCTGGGCCATGCCACAGGGGATCAAGACAGGGAGGGTCTGGCCCTCGTCCACAATACATCCTTGTGGTCGGCAAGGGCCCTGCTCCATGTTGTGCTCCCTCAGGACCAAGTGGCCACCATCCTGCTAGGTGCTAGTTGTCCCCTTTCACTGGCCAAAGCTAGTCCAATGGCCACTCCAAACTTGACGAGGGAGGTGAGCCGAGCCTGCAGAGGGTCTGGAAAGAGGAACACTTGGACTTCTGAGAACAGCCCTGACCCTGCCACCCAGGCCATGTCCCAGGCCTGCTGCCTGGGAGCACTGTCCCCAAGTCAGCAGGACGAGGACCAGGCAGGGAGGGGAAACAGAGTGGAGACCCCGGTCCCTTCTCCTCAGTCCGGCCATCCCCGGGGCTCGGGGAGGCGTGAGGGGGCTGGAGAGACTTGGCGGCCAGCCACGAGCCACATCTCCAGGGCTGGAGCGCAAATCTGTCCTTGAACAGTCTCAGACGGGCCTTTCTTCATGACGATGCCCTCATGAGCCCGAAGAGAGGCCAGGGGACACCTGGAGGGAAAACACGGGCATCCACGCTGAGACGTTCCCTCGGATCACCAAGTCGGATGCTTCATTCAGAGAGAAACCGAGGCGCAGAGAGAGGGG